GTTTTCCCAATCCCGGTGTCTGTGTTTCTCTTGATGCCAACTGCATGCCCTCTGCATTGCTGTCTGGCTTTTTCCTGCTGCCGGTACTCGTTTTCAGCGAGGCCCTCGGAGAGGGTTTTCATTTGGGTGCTGGGGAGGGTTCTGGCTCTTGAGGTCGGACCCTCAGCTGCGGAAGTACTCCGCGTCTTGAGCTTAGTGTGCAACTCTGCGTGCTTCTGATGCACTCTTCCCGCAAGTATTTCTTCTAATGTCTTCACATGGATGTCCCCAGCCTTGTCCCCTCTCATCGCTGCTTCACGCCTGCGTGGCCCGGGCGAGGCGCCCATTATTGGCTCCTGCAGAGACTTGGAAATCTGTGATTTTTTGGCTGCTTTGTCCAGATCTGTTTCTGGAGCTCCAACTTCCTTTCCTAGCCGTTCTGAGAGGCTCCGCCTCAGTGGAGGGTCGCACTCACCACTGGCGGACAGTTTTCGTTTCCCCAGTCTCTCAGAAAGACTCAGCCTAACCAGGGGTTCTCCTTTGCTTGACACAGTAACTGTCCTCACCACAGCGGGAAGGAGCTGAGGCTGGAGCACAGGATTGGAAACTGCAGAAGGAGCTGCTTGCTGTAAGGTGACACCAGGTTTCTGCGTAGAGTTCATCTGTAATCCACCAGGGACCTGAGGGGTACACCCTGGGGGATGCGTGTTGGTTTGTTCTGCCTCCTTAGAAGACAGGTCTGGGTCATCCTCATTGCCGCAGGTGACACTGATCACCCCCGGCAGGTGTCTGGGGCAGGGTACTCCGGGGTCACCTTTTGCCTGCATTCCAGGTGCGCTTTGCAGCGCAGTGCAAGGCCCCGGCTGGACAGCAAGTCCATCCCCCTGCGGGGCAAGCTCGGCCTTGGCTGCCTGCGGGTTCCCGAGTGCGGTGGGCACCAGGGTTTTGCTTGGGGGCAGGTACAGGCCCTGGAGGTAGCGACCTCTCTTGTGATGGAAAGCACAGTTTCGCTTTTGGCAACCCGT